AGATGGAAATAACAAAGGTTATTTAAAATATAAAGTGATGATCCTAATAGAAACATGGATGGAGCAGAGGTGAAAGATTTATATAGGGAATTAACTTAATACAAAGCATGAGTTAAAAGTTAAATGGACAGAAAGAGAAAAATACGACTGAAACAGCAAAATGAGATAATTTAATATGAGTTAAAAGAAGTTGAGAGTGGAAAGTGAAGATGGGAGAGGAGAAAACAGAAACTTCAGTTAACTGGAGTATAAATGAGATGAAACAGAAAATGAAAGTACAAATTATAGGAAGGAAATGAAGTAAACAAATAGAGGAGTTACTGTGGATAAAAAATAGAAAATGCTTATGGGAAATAGATTAAGTAAGAACAACAGCAGGATGGTAAGATTAAGAAGGGATGGGATGTCCGTAGAAATGATTGAGAAAGTCACAAGATCAAGAATAGAATAAGGAAGAAAAAGTATGAACTTTTGTGAATCTTGGGGAATGGTGGTATTAAAGGTGACGAGGAAGAAAGATAAATGTACATAGGGGAAAGACAAGATTTTGTGGTTACTACATATTTGGAAAAAGGAGAGCAAAAATTAATGATTAAGTGAATGGAGGTAAAAAATTGGAATACATGCAGACTATATTGTGGATAAAAGAAGGGCAGAAAAGTTAAGAAAAAGTCATAATATTCAACTTGGATCTGGAGCAAGAACAAGCAAAAAGAATATGTTAAGAAATAAATGATATATAATTAAGACCAGGATAGAGTTTTGGAGAAATTTAATGTAATTTGGTATATGACATAAAGGAAGAGGTAGAAATACAAAGAACAAAAGAGAAAATAAGAGCCATTGACAAAAATTAAAGGACAGGAGAACAAAAAGATATAGAGGAATATGTTAAGAGAACCATATAAAAAGAGTAGTGTTCTGACCACTACTGTCTTTGTTGTATCCCAACCAGCCTTAAGAGCTCTGGATTGAGCAAAATGCAATATTGGCAATGGATAAGGCAAGTATTGTGTGGTTGGAATACTATTATTATAATACACACTTCTAATTTTTGAAAATCCCTAAGGGACTAGAT